TTTTCAAGGGAGCTGGGTCTTTGCGTGTCCAAAATACGATAATTTGAACCTACTCATTTATGCCTCAAGTGAGAACTCTGGATCCATTTCTTCTATGATCCATTAATTTGTTATCTTGGCTATCAATGGCATTCTCAAGAATCTCCTCCAGTATCAAAGTGTAAAAGCATTAATATCCTTTTTATCTTGCTTCTTCAGTCTTTTCTTTGTTTCACATCCAGGTCTGCACAATTCTGATCTTTGTAGGTGTCACGGCATCTGAATACCTTTTCCAAGGATTGTCTGTGAAGTCTGATTGATATTATTCAGTCATTGGCTGCATTGTACCTAAGTGCTATTTTTGCTATATCCTTTGTGACTACGAAAGCAATGCTGTTCCTTCTTTGTTTTTCATGTCTTGAGTAGTGAACAGTACGATCTTATGACTGAGTATCCGATTTCAGTCGATTTCAGTTTACTGATGCCTAAGGTGTCAATATGTGACCCATTTTTTTCCCTTACTGTGTTGAACTTTCCCATGTTCATGCTGCTTATGTCCCATGTTCACACTGTAATTCTCTCTTTGCAGCTCTGGTTTCTTTCCTTGCGTGGCAACATTAGCAACTAGATGCCTGGAAGGCTTTAATCTAGCTGCGTCATAAACACTATTAGATCCTCAGCTCTTCCACAGCAGCATGCAGAGTGCCATTTGACCTGACAAGCCCATCACCTGCCACTACATTATCAGTAATTTCATGTATTTATTTATTTATTTATTTATTTATTTATTTATTTATTTAAATTTATTGGCCAGCCAACTTCAATTTTATATTGCCTATCCATGGTGTTTTCTTGGTAAAATATAAAAGTCGTTTACCATTGCCTTCTTCTGCACCGTATGAAATGATGGCTTTGCTGCTGTCACTAAGGTGATCATCCATTTCCACCATCCTCCTGTATCGCTGCTGCCCAATATAGGTGGCTGCTTGCTTTAGCTGGGCAGTTGGGATGACCTTCATGCCTTAGGTGGCCCTGCTAGGAGTATCCACCTAGCATTGGCTGTCCCTTCCAGGAACACCCTCCCACGCCATTACGAGACAACATAATAGGACTTGGGGGTAGAATATAGGAGAGCCACCAATCATGATTTAAGAAACTGTGTGAATAGAAAGAAGATCATGGTATGCACATTTCCGTTAACTGAGAAAGGGACATAGTGAGTCATGCAAACATGCTCATTATATATGAAGTTACTACCTCTAGTTTCAATGTGTTGTTTTATGTTTGTTAAGAATGACTTTGTTTGTTATTAACTACTTTGAACTAACATAAGAACAGTCCTGCTGAATCAGACATTTGGTTTCTTACAGTGACCAACCAGATGCCTTAAGTGAAAGAAATACAAATAATTGAAATGCAAATGTATCTAAACACAATTAGAGCATAATCTGGTAGAAAATCTGATGCAAACATGCATAAAATACATTTTGGAGCTCAATATAATTGTAACCTTCCAGCTTGTAAGCAAGAAGCCACCATTAATTCCAACTTTGCTTCCACATCTGATGTGGACATTGCTAAGCATTCTAATTCTGACTGCAGGCTGTTCTCCCCCTCCCTTCCCCCCAATTATCTGATATAACTTGTGACTTGGCAGTTAGGAAATGGCTTTAAAAACCTCAAAGAGCTTTAAATATCAACAGATGATTTTATGCTACTTTGTATGGTAATGTGACACTTCAAAATTAAATTTACCACAGTTTTAACACTTCTTAGTTCAAGTGACAACAGTCCAAGTCAAATTAATCATGACAGAGAGAGCATGAATGCTTATTAATATGCATTTTAAAAAATGAAAAAAGCAAGTAAGAACTGTTTAGTCTTCCATACATAAACCTATAGCTACAGTCCTGACAGGCCCAGCTCCTGAACTTCATGAAGGTTCATCTTCCAACGGAAATAGCAGGCTGGAGGAAATATTCCCATAGGGATTATCTGTGGGGGAGGGGGAGAGAGAGTAAACTCTCTGCTCTCATTTCCTGCAGCTGCTACTTGAACATTTAAAAAATATGCACACAAATTACACTTTTGCAGTTAACACCACATTTAAAAAATGAGAATACACCTACCCTAAATGTCAACAACTCATTTGACTGTGTAGCACTGGACTCTGTTAAATTTCAGTTTAGAAATCTTAATGGTTAATTTATGTTCCTAAAGATTGCAGTGTTGGACTAGAACTAGAGAGATCGAGGTTCACATTTCCACTAGACAGTGGGACTGACTGGATGGGGTCTATTCACTGTCTCCCACCCTAACCTCCCTCATGAGGTTGTTATCAGGAGGAAGTGGGAGGGAATCATGTGTACTAACTAAATGAGAGAGGTTTGGCAAACTTTTTTTTTTCTGTTAAGGGCAATGTTGTTGCCTGGGCAACATGTTGGGAATTACATCACTTGCTAGTGGTGAGTGAGGCTGAAGCAAGTTCTAGCAGAAACCAGAAAGTCAGGGTCAAAGATTATTGGACCACTTATTTACTTTCTTTCTAACATCCTTTTTTGGTCTCTGATACCTCTTTTTCTATCTTTTTTCTTCTGCATGCAACAGGGTACCAGTTAACTTTTCCTAGAGGTGCAGATTAATCAATTACAAAGAATGTTGGAAACGATGTTGATCCACAAGAAATTAAGTCAAAGGCTGAATGTGACTATAGGGCCCCACATTTTTCAGCCCTGAGTAGAAGAAAGATGGATACAAATGTAACAAAAATATAAATATTATATATGAATCCATCAGTCAACTTCTCATTCAAATTGGAAATTATTTCAGTAAGAAAGGGGCAAAAAAGAAGAAACAAGCTTGGGCAATTGCACAAGTCATTTCAAATCATTTCCCAATTAAAAGTGTCTTAAAGTGCACATCCTTTTTGCTTGTGACACTGTGTGGTCTGCATTGTATAGGTTGACTCTGTGAAGGTTAATAGAGCTATAGTAGTTTTCTCTTAATCAGTCTGAGAATGACACAGATTGATATGGTTGACAGGTAAATTAGATCTAGCCCTTAAGGAAAACAACATGACTTGTGTGGCCTTCAGGTTCCGTGGATAGAGTCCAGGAATAACAAATCACTGTTTATTGTCATTTTTACTGTGGTGATACATTGCATTTCAGAGAAAGTTACAGAGCACATTTGTACAGAATCAGCTAAGAATGGAGACACAACTCTTTATATAAGGAAATTCATGGCAGCATAGACAAGAACAGTAGTGTCTGTAGGGGGGCAGTCAAAAAAATCCAGATGGCAGTGCAATTAAAGCCACACCTCTTTGTATATTTGTGTGACACCAATGTGTCTACAAAACAGGCAGGGGTTTGATTGTGCTGCTGTGACCACTATTGACTTTTTAACCCTCTGCAGATGAGAAACACACTGGTTTACATACAAATGCTGACTGGATTGATACCTAATGCTAAACATCATATGCTTAGTTCTAAGGATCTCGTTTCTTTAATAAACCCTGATTATAACGATTCTTGGCTTACCACAATGTGAACTCTTGTTTGAGAATGACAGTGATTATGTTTGTACAATATGTAAGCCTCTAGCTTCAAACATTGTTCCTGCAAACCAATAATGGTGACTGCTAGACAGATGATATATGGACTCTGAACTTGATTCAAGAGCTGCAGACTGTCTGGGGAGCGAAGTGGGGCTATGTAGCCCTGCCACAACCTACAGAGACTTAGCATGCCATGCAAACACATGATGCCCAGATCCGTTCTATTGGTTTATTGTCCCTCATGGTATTTTCACATCTGATACGGTTGCATGTCTTCACATCTCTTTAGAGAACTATGCAAACTGAGTCCCGTCTTTTACACACATCTTTCTTCCTTGATCAGAGGAAAGCACTTATTCAGTCACAGGGGCAAGGCAGAAGTACAATTCCCATGTCATTCACTTAGTTTATGGAATTTATTTGCCTTAACGTTTATGCAGTTTTGAAATGTGGAACAGGCTAAGACATGTTTATAAGATTTTGTGTCTGCAAGCCAGAATGAAGGAAGTAGTAATATATTTTTTTACCATACCCTCTGAACTTCTGGTATGGTGCAGAACACACATTCAGACAAGACCTGGGTCACTCACCATATTCGCCCACAATATGTTTTGTTTGTAACTTAATCTCTTACACAAACCCAGCCATTTATGATTTATTCTGTAAACCATGACCGAGTAAAACATGTCTTAGCCACTGCATAAATTCATTCAGAATCTCAGAGTGGGTACATACATTATACTAAGTAATGGCTTACCCATGGTTACTGAATGTATCACAAATGGCTCAATTGACACAATATGCAAAACCAAAACCAAACAAACTAGGTCATAGTTTAGCAAGATATGTTAATCAAGTCCCTGTGTTCTAGAATGTGGATAGAGACCTAGTAGATCTCTGAGGGATTTGCACAGATCAGCAAGAATTTCTGACCCATTAACTAACATTATCAGCAGCTATGTAGCCTCTGCAATCTTGTCATCAAAATTGTGCAGTATTGCAGAAATGAATACAAGGTGGAGATAGAGAGAAGTAAATATGCATATGTGGAAGGAGAGATGCGCGTTTCCTTTGACAACATTATTTATTGGTTAGTGGATCTTACGATTCCAGTTAAAAAGGAAACTGGATCCACAAAAGCCTACCCTGCTATTCTTCTAGAGGATTCATAGAATATTGATAGTCTGAAGATATGTGGTTTAGGATGACGGTAATGATCATCATGACAACAAGAAATATTTTGCTCTGAATCTGATTTTTCTCACATGTAAGAGAGAGGAGGACTCTCATTTCTAATGTTCTGCTCATCTATTTAAGAAAAAGTGTAAATGTCAATAACAGAATTCTTTGAAAAGTTCATTTTTTAAAAACAATGGCTATTCATTTAAAAAAGAAGATGCAAATATATAAATGAGAAACCTGTCAATCTTTGGAAAAATATTTTAATTAGTGATCTAATTAACATAAAGTTATAAAATACTGCAACCAGATTTACATTTACGTTACATATTTACATTTATCTAAAGAAACATGATACACCAAAGCCATGAATTTCACACACAAAAGTCTCAGAATTATGAACTGAATCCTATTATTTCCTTTTGAAGCTGGCTTTTCTATAAATAAATGATGGGAGTTTCAGCTTCTTCTGCTCAGACCATCCTCAAAAAATAGGCAGATAAACTGTGATTAAAACAAAACTTAAGCATGGAAGACCTATTGCTTTGGAGGTTTCTTCTCAGCTTAACAGATTGGTTTTTTCCAATCTCCCCTAGTCCCTAGCCAATATAGAGCTGAAAGCAAGCATTTTGCTCCTGCAGACATAGACTGCCAAAATTCAAGCAAATGCAAAAGAACGGCCCAAATCCCATCTGCTTTAGGGATCTGCTGGGGCCACAAAAGGGATGCTGGCAGGTTGCAGGCAGTCGTTAGGCTGCACATTTTGCATGCCTGCACAAGATGCAGCCAAACAAGTTCATGATGTCTGATTTTTGACCCCCCCTACTTGTCATTCGTGCAAGACTTCCAGACTGCTGTCAATCAATCAATCAATTTTATTTCGGTCATAGACCAGCATAACTTCCAGACTGCTATTAGCTCCAGTGATACAAATCTCCAGCCTAATTTTTGTATATTGCGTGAATGAGGTCTTCTCGTCCTCATATGTGGGGCTGTTGGGGCTATTACTTTGGTTTCATTATCAACAAGTTTCTCCCTGACAATCTAAACTATGAGGCAGAAAGCAAGGATTTTCTTCATATAGTAACTAGAATAAATATTTTTCTCATTTAATTTTATAATAGAGCATTTTAGAAATGTATTCTATTTAGACTTACAGGAAATTTTACAGCAAAATTCTAGAGTCAGCTATGCTTGCCAGATCTCTAAACTGCATTATCCATGTAATACAGTTAGTTATATTTATAATTAGGGTTTGTAATTTCTTCCATTTTTCTTTTCTCCAAGAAAAAAAATTGGCAATAGCAATTGCTCCCTTAAAAATCCATAGGATGTATTTATTTGGGAATAATTTATTACCCACCTCATCAAAATTTTCTAAGACTTTTCATAGGTTCTGGTATGCCTTTCATTTTGGTAGCAATGTAGGAGACGTTAATCTTGTTTTTTATTACATGAGTTGAAATATATGAATGGCCAGGAACTTGTGTCCCTTTAGATGTTTCCAGACTCCAATTCCAATCCACCAGCATGGCCAATTATCAGAGAAGATGTAGTCCACCAACATCTGGGGAGTCACAGGTTCCCAACTTACAGTACTCCCATACTGCTAATATCCTTTGGCTTTCATTACTTGCTGAGAAACATACACACAACTAATGAATGACAAATATGGTAACAATAAAGAGATGAGCACAAATTGTAAGCATTCCCATAACATTGATTGAGTGGTTTCAAGAGGGTGGTTAGCCTTTAAGGCATGATAAGCAGCAGCAAAGGATTGTTCGGCAAGGATGTTTCCTCCGATATTCCAGTGCTTTCCTCACTTGATCTTTAGCTTCCCCAACATATTCTTGGACATTTTGCATGTTGAACTCAATAACATCAAATGTGTCAGCCTGCTGTTCCACCAGCAGTGCCACCTGTAGGAAGAGTTCATGGACCTCTCTGATTCGAGATTCAAGCTTCATCAACTCTTTGTGCCGGGTCTCTATCTCATTCAAGGCCGAGCGAGCTCCTTTTGCATCAGACAGTAAGTTCTCAGAGAAAACGTCCCATCTGCCTTGCTCGATTATGTCTTCTATCTGGTTTCCAGGCACATCCTTGCCCATGATTTCCAGCTGCCGCTGAATTCTAATCTTGCAATTTTCCCGCTCTTTCATCTCAGTCTCATTGTAATCAAACATGGCTTCCTGGAAAGCATGCATTAGATCAACATAGTGGTCCTTGCACACACGGGTTACAATTGCATTTTCACCATATTTTGTTTCTGCATCTTCACTGATATCTCTCAAAACCTGAAGTTTTCTGTGGATCTCTTCCCCACGGGCCTTAATATCTTTTGCTATGGTGTTTGTATCTCGCTTTATGCTACTGAAACGACGCATTGATGTCAGGAAGCGAGAGTTTTGTTTGCCCAAGCGTCTAACATCCTCTTTCAGGCGGTGATTGCTTGTTCGTATCTCTTGAATGTTTTTGTAAAGATTTGCTACAGCATAATCAGTTTCAAAAAGAAGCGTTTCATGAGGTCTTTGTAATTCGTCCTCAGCATCTCCAGTATGTTGATTATACAGCTTAGATAGTTCATAAAGTTCAAAGAGTCTGTCTCTCATTTTTGTCCCTAGGAAGAAAAAAGCAAGTAAGTCAGATAGCAGAGATGAAGACAGATTTCTTTTAATTATCATATATGAAATGAAGTTTGATACTCCACATATTTCCATAGGGCAGAGCATAATACCTTTCTGATTAATTACTGAATGTCATGAATCCCTTTGTCCTGTTTATAACTCAGGATACTTATATATCCCCTTTGTAGAAGTAGGAAATATTTAAATCAACTATTCCCATCCTGAGGCCTTCCAAGTACACACTGAACTCTAGATATTCTTATCCAGCAAGTCCCTTCACAGATATATGTAGAGGATACTAGGCTGAGTATCCTCTACATATTCAGACAGTAGTGCTATTTCAAATACTATTTTTTCATACTACTGCTATTCAAATGGAAACCAAAACTGATGTGTTGATTAGTATTGAAACACAGAGGTTTTCCGTACATTAATTCTGTACATAAGCAGAATTTCCAATACGATTGTAGTTTAAAGCAAAAACCTGGGGAAAATCTTATTGACATTACAGTTGTTTTAAGAAGATTCTCCAGGAGGTATTTTTTGCTATTTGTACACGTTCAGCTCTAACTACTTCAAAAGAACTTGTCACATAAACTTGTCTACTTACTGTTTTTATGTCTAGTTTTGAAACAGAAGTTAAATATTTAAGGTATTACTCCTTACTTATCATCCAAGGCCTTCCACTACTTCATTTATCCATTAATCTTTTATTCATCTGGAGATTTTAGGGTGATTACAGCTCTGAAAGGTAGGCTAGGCTGAGACAATAGTGAATGGATCAGTTTAAAAGCTGGGCTGGACTTCAGGTTCCCTCTTACCTTAGCACCACATTCAGTCCACTACAGTAGACTGCTTCTCTTGAACACCAAGTGGCTGCTGGAAAATAAATACTTCCATGTGGTCAGAGTTTGAGTTTAAAAGGGTAATAGCTACAAGCTCCAACCTCCCAGACATGAATCCATGACCCAGAATTAATTTATTAAGAGGCCACTTCACTAACACAAAATAAGCTAATGCTTTACTGCAGGGGTCCCCAAACTCTTCAGCTCACTGAGTTTCAGGTTGTTCATTGACACCCATGCTATTTTAAGTAATAGTACTAAGAACGATGATGATGATGATGATGATGATGATGATGATAACAATGACCTTGGATAGTCCCATCCACCATTGGGGGTCAATACTGACCACTTTGGGGAACTCTGCTTTACTGGGATTGTTATGTTGGTCAATCAGTCAAACATCATCCATTAAGGGGAGTGGAGGAATCAAAATGCCAGAGATGCAAATATCTTTCATTAACCATTCAAATATTATTAGCTGAACAGATACTTGACTAGAGTAAATTATTCCATGAAACCATCATACTGACTAAGCTTGAAAGATTTATCTGCTGCTGCGCTGCAGCACGAATCCCTACTTAGCATGACTAAAAAGACATAGCTTTTTAACAATATTACATACTATTTTTTATTTCCTTTTTTAATGCTTGATAACTAGAAACCAGATGCAGCAATGTAAATTAACTGCATTTATAGACTCCTTATTATACATTGTAATATACTATAGCTAATAAATTCACTATTTCACAATAAAATTTTATTAATTAGACTAAGTCTCAAATCTACTTTTTTCAGTAAAATGACTGTTTTAAAAATGTTTGTCCAATGTTTGGCTTTTCAGTGATCATCCTTTCTTTAACCAACCAAATACCCACTGCTAATGTTTCATACTCTCCTATTCAGAACAGAGAAAGTAAGTTTAAAGTAAAACCCTGTAATAAACAACAATAGCAGGGTGGAATTCTAGATTCATGAACATAGAGTCCAAGACGATCTAGGTATCTACACATAAACTCTAAGGTTACACCAAGTTGAGAGTGATGCTTCCATGCTTTCCAGTCAAACTGCATTCCTAACTCTTACCACATTTTTAATGCTACCTCTACATTTGACACAATACTCAAGAAACCTCTGTCCTTCCACTCAATATTCACAGCACAACATATTTCTTATTCTGTTTCATTCTGTTCCAGGAAACATAATTCACTTTCTTGCTTGGTGTATTCCTCCATTCTATTTCTCTTTAGTAAAATCTGAGCCCCTCCATCAAAATAACAATTCATAGAATCACCATGACAAATTAACAGTGCAAGTCTGGAAGGGAGAAGAAATAGAACTATATGACTGATTTACAAGCATTCCTTTCTTACAAGAAAATAGGATACAGATATAAAAATATTGACCAAACAAGAATCATCATGTGTGCACTGCTTTGAAAATAATCGTTGTTGCAGTAACAAGCGGGAAAGTTGGCATTAAAAGGCATTACAAATATACCTGCACTGGTCAGACCTCACTTCAAGTACTATATACAGTTCTGGACACCACCATTTAAGAGGATTTGGACAAACTGGAACGGGTTCAGAGAAGGGCAACCAGGATGATCCAGGAACTAGTAACTAAAACCTGTGAAAAGAGAATGAAAGCATTCACAATGTTTAGCCTTGAAGCTGAGGAGGATATGACAGTACATTTTAAATACCTGAAGGCATGCCATACAGAATAAGGGAAAGCCATGCTCCCTAGCATTCCAGATTGCAAGGCAGACAATCAGATTTAAATTACAGGAAGCAGATTCCAACAAAACATTAGCAAAGCTTCCCTAACATAAGAGCAATTTAAAGCTGGACCCAGAGACACAGTGGGTTCCTTTCATTGGATGTGTTCAAAAGGAGGCCAGACAATTATCTGTCAGGAATGCTACAGTATTTGGATTCCAGCACTCTTTGGAGCAGGCTCTTCTAGAATCCATTGTCACGTCCTCCTAACTGTGGTACAAAGACATCGCACTAACCCCTCTTAGAGGATGCGTCCTTGTGATATTGCCTGTATCTCATTCCTAGCCTCTGTAGAGGCAGCTTACGTTGGTCTGTAGCCGTAGTTTCTCAGTAGCCTTCGTTCTTCTTGCCAGATAATCAATGAGCACTTTGCTGACAGTGTGATCAATCATTTCATCAGGGCTTATGCTACCCTATTTAAATTATATCTAGGCAAAACAAAAAAGAGGAATCTATTGCTAATAAAGGAAGTGTGAAAAAACAGGTTATCTGCTTAACTGATTGTGCTTATATTTTGTATCTAGTGCCAAAGGTCATTACTTATTCCTTTCAATATCTCTTTAAACTCATACATTACTAGAGTAATGCAAGTCATAAGACACAATTTGTAATTTTCCATGTTAACCACTAGTCATCTTGTAACAGCTAAGAAGCAAAATATGTAGGTAAGATGACTAAGCACTGAGAATGCAATATATTCTACATTCAATTACAGTACCTGTATCACCTGGTCACTTGGTACATCATCCTTATAAGGCATATACTATCAAGTGACACTAAGCCTTGTGATTTTCATGCTCACAAGTGCTAGTTACATATGTAATAAAGTTGATTACATGAATACTAACGTGACATCTCTAATTACTGATCACAAATTCCCAACATATCTCAGATTCTTTTTTTTTAATCCTATACATTTTCCATGATGTATATCTATGCATATTCATGCCTAGGCATACAAAATGCTAAAATGCAAATTTGAAATTTGAAATAAGCAAGAAATGAATGCAGAATTTAAAATAGCATTCCAAATAACAAAACAATTTATGGCTAGTTCTGACCTAATTCTTTTCTCCATACATTCTGAGACCTTCCCTAGAAATCTTAAAACTAGGTAGAATTTGGAAGAAAGCTCCATTACCTTAGACTAGATTGTTTTTAATATGTTAAAATTAATTAAAATAAATTAGAAAATTAATTAATAAATTAAACCTATTAATAACTAAATTATTAAACAACTTTGTTAAGTTACTGTTCATGAAGAAAATATGTTGCATGGTAATTGCTTCTCAAATTACTATCAGCAGTGTCTTCTTCTTCCATATTCAGAAATAAGAGTCACTGAGTTCAATGAGGCTTAATCCCTAGCAAATTGGTAGTCATATAAAATTAAAATTAGTAGCATTTCCAGCTTTAATCTCAGTGAGGCCCACCACATAAGAATAATTGGTAAACATGCTGCCTCACACTAGGTTTCACAAAAACTCTTCAGATTGTGTTCCTGTTCATATTTTTATTTAATTTCAGTAAGAGTAACACTATTTTTCAATTGCATTTGCCTTAACTAAGGCACAGACAGGTATAACTGTAACTTGTCTCCATCTTTGACAAGGATGAACTTGTAGGGACTCCATCAAGTGGCAAACTGTGTAACTCTGAGTAGAGCCTACTAGCCTACTGCATTTCCGGGATCCTTCACCTCCTACCCCAAATCTCCCTTTTGCAGACAGAGCTTTGAATCCAAACAAATGTCTTTGAAGCCTTGTGCTCTCTCATTTAAGGGTGTTTTGTAACTGCAGCCTTGAAATTCTTCAAAGGCAATCAAAAGATTGCTGTAATCTCCATCTCTGCTAGGAACATAGATTTGTCCTTGTCAGATCAAGTGGACATCTTTTGTTTAGCAAAGCCCCAAGAGGCAAATGTTACTGAACATTTTAGAGTCAGAAATAATGGTGTGAAAAGATCCATAAAAAGGGCCTAAGAACATTATTTTACTTTTCATAAAATAAACAAGGAACCACTCTATTTGGTAAAAACGCAAAATGGGGGAATGCTAACAAAGTGAGAATAAACTGAAAACATTGATAAAATACTATTGAAGTACTATTTTATTCTGAATTCAATTCTTAGAATATTTGTATTTTAACATGAAAGCCACTGGTGCAGCTCAAGAATTCTGCACAGACTTACTGCGTAGAAGGAGAAGGGGTGTTAGACAACCATGTTACAATTCTTAGGCTATGCAGCATGCAACTAACATTTCTATTTCCTCCACTTTCATTCCATATTTTATAACTGCTTCCTGACATACTAGAGCAAAGTACCGTACCTTATTTTAAAAATACATACTCTTGAGGATGTGCAAGTCTGCATCGCATTTTAATCCAAGTTCAAGCATAGTACCATTGTGACTACTGGAATTTACTTCTGCTGCTCTAATGCTAAAACATTTATTTGGGAATCAGCACTGTTTTGTTGTAGAAAAAAAAATTATATATCCTTAAAGTAAAAACAAAATTAGTATCTGTAACTGTATGCCTGCTGGACTAGTTGTCCCTTAGCTATAAAATGGTTTTAAAAATGAGAAGTTAAAAATTATGCTGCCTTGAAGAATTTTACTGCTGAGGATTGTGAACATGTCTGTATCAGTCCTAACACCACAGTGTTTGGTCCTAACAGCAGTATCAACGGAAGTCGCAGATTTACACATCTAAACTCACTTATCTCATACCAATATATACCTCTGTTGGCACTCTTTCTCATCCTTATTCACCTGTGCCGATTGGCTTCACAAATTTACTTCCTTTTCTTTTTACATCTTCATATCACATCTTTCCCACTGAGCTGCTAGATGTCCTTTGGGCCTTCTTATATTACCCCCACGCACAGATCCAGCCCTGTACCTCTTCTCAGTCCCACATACACTCCTTGTCTGGAGCGTTTCTTTTCAAGCTGGAGGTAACTAGGGCTACAGTATTCTAGCCTGGCATCTTTCAGTGATGCTTATGAGACATACTTCATCTTTTGAAAAACCCTGAGCCTCGGAGTACTCTTATCCCTGGTTTGAAAAATACTGTGCTAAAAAGTCAAAGATGAAGTGCATGCAGAAAATAGACCCAGAACTCTAAGAGGCAAATAAGTAATAAGTTTAGAGTCTAAACTTTAGACCGAAAGCAGATCTATGTTAAAACTGCAGCTTAAAACACAGTCCTTAAATTTCACCTTAAAGAATAACCTTGTTGAAGAAATCCATTTTAAATAAACATACACAGGATTAAACCTTTAAAGATTTTAAATAACAATCTAAATCCAAGTGACTTTGTTTACAAGATAAGCTAGTCTTCTCCAACCAGATACCCTCTAAATGTACTAGGATACGAATGTCCAGAAAACCAAGCCAGCAACATGCTAACTGGGGATTATGGAAGGAGCTGTCTGACATATCTAGTGGGTACCAGATAAGGCAAGCTGAAAAAGTTCCACTTAGCTATTAAGCTCATGACAATAAAGGAACAAATTCCATTTTGAAACAATTTGGAAAAAGGCAGAAACATTTTCTTAGAATACAGTTTCATGTCCAAATGATATTAATTTCATTGTGTGTAAAAGGGTGAATTAAGGAACACAACAACAATATACTGATATACACAGTTCAAACGCATAGCCAGTGGTGAATGTGGATGATAGTTTTTGTATGTGTTGTACTGTGTGTTTCCTTTAGTGTTACAAAGGATTTTTGAACTCTGGTATGTTTTCTTGTTAATTACCAGAAACCACAAGGAGAAGCTTTGAAAGTAACCAGCTAAGAAAAAGAAATTTAATCTCATTGAAAGCCTGAGTTTAAAATATTTATTGAAAAGATGTCCAGTGCAATTTCTTATTTCATGGGTAATCTGTGAATACATAAACTGTTTCGGAATGAAGATTCTTATACAAATGACTTTTTAAAAATAGCCAGAAAGTGAAAGGATTTTTCTTATAATTAACTTTCACAACAGAATTGAGTTATTCTATTAAGTACTGTTCACTCTACATGCAAATCTATCAACTTCAAAAATCATGGGTGCTCAGGCCATTATCTAATACAGAAATTAAGCAGTCTACCAAAATTCTGTAGAACACAAGAAAGAGCCACTTTAGGTTCAATCTATTCCCAAAGGAGGAGATCAGATGTAGAATCACCTTCATGACTAGTAGCCACAGATAGCCCTATTTTTCCATGAATTTGTATCATGCCACTTAAAGCCCTCTAGCTAATAGCCATCTGCTGCATCTGGTAGCAGATTCTACAGCTGACCTATATGTATTTCATGTGCAGTACTTCCTCTTATTTGTTTTCAGTCTCTCATGATCATCCTGGATGATTTCTGTTACTCAGTTCCAAGCAAAACTGTACATATCTCTGCAGTGCCCCACTTCCATCTCTGCCTCTTTGCTAAGCCCCAAAACCACAAACATTGTGGTTGTCATTTCCTCCTAAGAGAGTTTTTCTGCCTCTTGACAGATTTTGGCAGCCCTTTCTTCTCCAGCTTTTCTGAGGCACGCTGACCTAAACTGTACACACTTCCTCTACTTCTCCACCATTCTCCTGAGAAAGCAGGGCTCAGACTGGTGCTGCCTCAGTGCACTGAACTCCAGAGGAAAAAACCTGTGGCTCAAAACTTTATCAAACTAAGCAGGTGGTGCATAGATACAAAATAGCCTCCCAGTGAAGGTGATAAAACTCATGACTGTCATGGTTTGGGACCATGCACTAGAGACCCCTTCAAGCAGAGGACATCTTGAAACGCCCACCCCTATCTCCCACTGCCCCCGTCTAGGACACCAACCCCTCAGTCAAACTCTTACCGCCTGCGCCGGGAAGAGAGCAATCGCGCTCCCGCCGCGTCGCTGTCCAGTCAAGAATACGCTGCCTCGTGGAAGAAGCACCTGTCAAACCTCTCGGTCCCGGGAGTTTCCCCGCGGCGCGCCTTATCCCCGCCCCTGGCCCCGCCTGCGCGCAGCTCATTGGCCGCCTGAGTTCCTTTCTGGAGCTGCGTCAGGGATGAGCGATGCTCCGGCACGTCAGGGCTGATGAGTCCTCGTCTTGTGAAGGGCGCGCGGGTGGGAGCTGCCCGGAAAGGCGGCAGCGGTGCCCGGGTCGCTGCGGCGCGGCAGGTGCTGGGCTCCCCACGTCGGTGATCTGCGGGAATTCTTGGCAGGCTTACCTGAGGCATCATCGCAGCAGAGGCGGGATCTGAACCCTTGGTAATACAAGTAGTCTAATTGCATCAAGGCAATTAGACCACTTGTATTTCCCACTCCTCTCCCCCTCACCCCCCATCCACCCAATTTCGTTTTCAAAAAGTTGGGCAAAATTACTGTACTTCAGATTACCCGCGAAGAATATAGGAAAGATGGACGCAAAACGTAAAGGCTATTCCAGTTATCTTTTTTACTCGTGGGTGTTTTAGTTCATGTGATAACATTCTTGTGCTGCAGAGGCTCCCTCGGGGGCAGAAGTTATTCCACGTGTTTATTTCATTTTGGGAGACTCTTTGGGTTTGTTAGATGTTCGTGTTGTTTGGAAACAAAAATCTGAACATTAAAAGGAGGGCAAGAGAAATGAATATTGTGCCATTTTATCATAATACACACACACACATCCCAGCCCTATGATGTTGATGGAATTATCTGCCCATTATCCAACCCTCTGAAAAACTCATCTCTGTTGATACGAACAAGCATTCTATAGTATTGCTGGGAACCTCAAAAGGACTGTTTAGAAATCAGAACTGTATATACTAGTTTCCATTTTAATTTCCCATTTCTCCCTATTGTTAAATAAGCATACTTCAGTGTTAATAATTTAGCTGTACATCACAGCATGAATATATATGGAGGAATAATTTTTATTAATATGTGGGAGTAGTTATATTTTTAACATGTTCATGTCTACTTTTCTTCCGTTTCTTTTTTTGCTTCTTTCTTCTTGCATGTAAAATAACATTTTATAAATGTTGCTATAAATGTTAGAAAATAACTTTATATAAATGGTGTGGGCTATTTAAGGAATTTGGTCATCATAAATATGTATAACCATATGCACATTTTAAAAAGCAATATTTTCCTTATTAATGGAAAGGAAGCATTAATACAAACAAAAAGTTTAAAAGTTCAGGGAACTGGGGATGAGGAACACTGCTGCTTATGAAAGGTTTAAGGTTTTTTATTTGGCATGAAAGTCAAGATGGGGGATGTCACACAGATGACACATGAAAACCAGACAGAGCTTAATCTATTTTTTGACCACACCCTGCTGGCATCCCTGTAACTTCCTATGATCTTGTAATTCTAATTTTTATTCTTTTTTTTCTTCTTTCTTTTTTTTGCCAATAACCATTTATAAACATGAAATGCATATAATATGCTTTCAGAGACATGTTTCCAGAGCTGCTAATCACAAGACAGCATGCAGCTTCTCTGACTTTAGGCTTAGTAGAAGTAAAGGTGAAAGAAAGTGTTGTGTATATGGCCTGTAAAATTACAAAAGAGGTAGGATGAAGTAAGCTAGTTTAAAGTAGATTCTGTTGTTCTTTTCTCCTCAAACTCTGTAAGAAAACATAATACATTCAAAAAAGAAGGCTATCTCAGGACTAAGACATTTATATTGCTGTTGTTGCCTTAAGCAAGGTTAAATTTTGCTCTTCCTGTAATACACATCCTTACTTCCTAACATATATTGAGTAGTACCATAGCAGTTCATGAAATGATCAAAAATTTATTGGCATATATTATTTTTCTGATAAACTGTTACATTTTTCCACTGAATAATATGTGTTGACCTTTTAAAATACTCCCCTCTGAGCTATGCATGCTTATGCAAATAGATGTCTTATTTGGCCTAGTTATTTCCCAATCAGCTTACAGTTCTATGTACATTTACTCAGAGTTCATCTTCACTAACAAAGTGGGAGATTTCTGAGTAAATATACCAAGACTGCTTGTGCATGTGAAGGGATCAGACTATCAGTTTTAGAATCATCATAACTTTTTATTCTGCTAAAGTAGTTAGGGATCTTTCCAGATGTCATTTTCTTGTTCATATTTAAGAGTCTGTGAATTTTATTTTCAAAGTTAACACAACTTGGCAGTTCTGGGAAGTGTAAGTTTTCTTTCTTTTGGTGGAGGTGAAATTATTCATTTCCTGCAAATGGTATAATAACTGGTCTGTGCTACCCCTTTGACTTTGGCCTAGAACGGGACTTCCCTTTTCCTGTAATTCTGCAGTTTTTGAAAAAGCAGTACAAGGTACCCTTTACAGTTTATAGGCTGAAAACTTTGCTCATGTTGGGTTTCCCCTCTGCAGACGTTTATCCTTACACTGAGTTATATAATCCTTCTTTGAAATATCCTGATGGCAGAAAAATTCTAACAAATACATTCCAGGCTTGCACCAGAAACTCAAGAAAACCCACAGTTCTAATTTAGGAAAATTGGCTTTGCATTTGAAAAAAAATGCAAAAAAGAAAGCATAGTTGGAATTAGGTATTAAAAAAGATAAATGCTATGTTAAAACAGGAAACATGCAGAAATTAAAGACAGGATTGTGAAAAAAATAAATAAGTGGCAGAGCAGTTCCTTCTATAAAGGAAGGACATAAATGCAAATATGGCAAATGTCTAGGCCAGGATAATGTGGGCTTGGACAGGCAAGAATAATCATGGCTTGTTGGTATTTCAGGAGTTGAGTGAGACTGAAAGCTCTGCCCTCAGAAAGTTTGATACTTGATTTGATCTTAAAGAGTGGGTTCATACGTCATGCTAAACCATGAGTTCCATAATAACTGGTTAAGTGTGTTCAACATTCTAATCATAAACTAGGATTTTCAGACAACAGTGGCTAGATTTACATGACATACTAAGCAAGCGCAAGCTTGTAATAGACCTTAAAATTATAGAACTGGAGTCCTGCTGGAACAGCTTCCAGCCTGTTTCTTAGAAGAAACAGGTTTTAAGCCTTCAAGGGGAAGAAAAAGAGACAGTGTGGAACAGGAGACAGGATGATGGATGACAGGCTCACCTAATGCAGGCACAAACTAGGCTATCATTCCACAGAGACTTGGATGAACACAGCAAGGAACTATATTTTTATTGCAATTCTGGAACAGCAGCTTAACAGGAAGTTGGCTGTCTCTATTGACTAGGCAGAAAATGCTACTGAGTTCTGCTTCAAAGCCTGTGTGCTCCAGTGCTCCCCGCTTCTTCTGCAGAGACTTACCCTCACAGGGGAAGGCTGAGGAAAAGAGCACATACATTTAATCTGTAGAAGGCATTTGCAATATTACATTCTTTATATTCCGGATCCATTTGCAAACCATTCCCTCCTGCTAGCCCAGATTCTCCTGCCCTGATAATGGGTCCCTGAAAAACAGAGAGGATGCATCTGTGCCACATAAGAAAATAAGAAAGGTTGTGATAGTGGGCACTCAATACTATGAGATGCCAAATAAATATGTACCAACTGGACCCATCAGTTTATGAAATGTGCAGTATGTCAGGAGCAAGGATCAAGGATGTCACCTAAGATGCCAGGAGACTATGAGTTCTAGTCCTGCCTTAGGTATGAAAACCGGCTGGGTGACTTTGGGCCAGTCACCCTCTCTCAGCCCAACTCACCTCTCAACTCACAGAGTTGTTGTTGTGGGGAAAATAGGAGGAAGAAGTATTAGCTATGTTCACTGCCATGGGTTATTTATAAAAATAATAAAGGAGGGATAAAAAATACTGTAATAATAAAAAAAGATTTATCCCTTCCTGCTAATCCATGTGGGGACAAATGATATGGAAAGAATAATTACCATTTTATCATTATGTATTTGGAAGATCTAGGAAGGAAGTTCAAGCATCAAGGGCTCAGATGGTCTTCCCATTCATTCAGTCCTAGAAGAGAACTAGAAAGGGAAAGAAGAATATCACAAGTGTATGACTGGAAAGGCAGATGGTATAAATGAGAATTATATGGTATCTGAGACTATGGTTTGAGTTAAATGGATGAAGGACTCCTGGGTGGGATGAGTTGCATCTCAGAAGGACTGATAAAAATGTGTTTCACTGAAATGCGCTGAGCTTGATTACTTCATTTAATTCTTTGAGATGTAGGAGATGAAAATCTTGACATAAGGACCTCAGATAAAGAGGTAAAGGTAAGAAAGATGGAGTGTTTCTATAATGGGGCCTATTAAGCTAAATGAAAAATCAGGGAAAAATGGCTTGTGAAACGCACAATCTTTGTGGTCTGCATATTAAAGCTCAGAGTATGGGAAATAAACAGAATGGGGCTGAATTCTTTAACTATAGGAGGGCAAGTATAATCGAATTGGTTAAATGGTGTGTTGACCCCCTATGATTGGAATATAAAGATTAAGGGAATCATTGTGTTCAAGTAGATAGAACAAATGTTAAGGGAGGAAGAGTCATACAATATGTTAAGAGTATCTACACTTACTTAGAAACCTAAGTGGAACCCAAATTCTGGCCAGCAGAATGACTTTGCCATGTAAATGTAACTAGTTTCAAGGCTGGCCCTACTGTTAGGCAGTAGGGTGAGGCTGCTGCCTCTGGCTCTAATTCCTGGATGGGTGCTAGAGGAGAAAGGAGCAAGAGCTACATTAGTTTATTCCAACTCTTCCAGCTGCTTATTTCTATTAAAATATAGCTCTGTGTGCCATGTGTCCCACTTTCCATCCTTTCACATAGCCTTAGACATAATGGAGGCTGCTATCCCTTGGGCAACATTATGCTACCAGTCAGCTGGCAAACTGAAGGGGGAACCATTTTATCCTTTGACTTGGCAAAATGTTTTGGGGCTGTTTGAGGAGGACTCCCTTTGTCTTTGCCACAGGTTTCTGTATCTGTTGCTGCAA